CTATTGGGTTGCCTTGTCCATTCTATCATAACAGTAGAGATTTTGCCTTGTCCTGTTGTGTCTTGTTTTGTTCTGTTTGGCTGTCGTCTCTTAGAGGCCTGCTCTTTTCTGAAGATGAAACACAGAAGGGGCCTCAATCTGGTGGCCATGTCCGGAATCCCTCCAGTAAGAGAGACCAGCAGAGCCATCATGAGGGAGAACAGGTCCTGTGGAGGGTCCCAGAGGTGGTCAGGAGTCAGCAGACAATCAGAGCAAAAATGATACCCATCCCCTGGGCTGTATGTGGAGGACTGAGTGGGGGCAGGACCTCCCCATCTCCACCTCCTTGTGGACAGCAACTTCCTTTATCATTCTGGCTTCTTCTTTTTCTTATTGCAGAAGATCTGCCCTTGTGGTCACTGAGACGATGACTGTGCCCTTGAACCCAGCTCCTATTTTTGCTGGAAGATGCTGCCTTGACCCCTGCATGCCGGGCTCTCCTCTCTTCCACCTTGCCCTCCTGTCTTATCCAGTCTTTCCCATTTCCTATGCAGCCTGAAATCACTGTTTCCTCAGCTCCATAATTTCCTCCACTGCTGCCCTCCCCTCAGTCTGTTTCTCACTATGTCTCCCCTCGTGCTGGTTGTCTGTGTCTTTCTCTCTTTCTTATAATTGCAGTTTAAGGAATGATCATTTTCTGCTCACCAGACACAGTGAGGAAGGAGGTGATTAGGAAACACATTCAGTCCCCAACCCTAGCTTGGTGCCCCCACCATTGTCTGCTTTTTGAATTCTTGCTGCCTGTCAGGGACTCCTCACAGTGGCCCTGGAAAACTAAGACCCAGTGGACACTCTCGCCCTGGCTGCTCGCTGCTACCGAGTCTGTAACTTCCCTGTGTTTCTGGGTAAGTTATATTCTTGTCTCCCTCACCCTGACACTGACTCCACAGCTATTCCAGCTTCTGAAGAGACTTTTTGCCTCCTGCCACCCTTACCACACACTCAGAGGAGGAAACCAAGAGTCAGAGAAGCCTGGCACATGTCACATGACTGGCACACGGCAGGCGATTGGACTTCAGTTCCATTGAGTTCTCGTAGTCTCACTCCCCACACTGACTTCCAGCTGCTTGGTGCAGCCTCTGAACTCCCCTCAAAGGCCACGGATCTGCTGCTGGGCTCCAGGGAGGCTGTTCCCACAGAACACTTCAGTGAGTCCTTCTAGCTATGTCTGTTCTAGATGCTCCTTTGAATGCAGTGGACAAAAGGGGCTCAGAGCAGCAATGTGTCACTCATGACATAATGCCTGGGACATCTCTGAGAGTGGACACAGCTGGTCCATGAATAGTCGAGTCGTGAGATGTGGGGGCAGGGGCTGTGGTGGCCAAAGGGCTGGTTCTGTACGAGGTCATCCTACCCTTTCCCGTGACAAGGTGCCATCAGTTCCCTGAAGGGCAGGAAGATGTGATTGTATCAGAGGAAGTGGCATTATTCTCTCTGAATGACATGTGCAGAGGTGATTTCCCATTTCCTTAGATTTCCTGGCATTGACTGCCTTCTCCATGTTCCCCTGCAAGTGGCTACACCGCTGCTCTCTGTCATGTCTGCTTTCTCTGCCTTCCTCACCCCCTGCTAAGTCTCTAAAAGAAGGACTGGGCCTAATGAGCTTCTATGCTCCAGCTGCTGGTCTCCACAGGCTCTGATTGGTCCCTCAGGATCCCAGCTGTCCCTTGTGCTCAGCCTCACTGCTGCCACCTACTGGCCATTGAGTCCCAAATCATGAACTCTGTTCTAATTTCAAGTCCTGGACTCAGTTGTTTGGTAGGATGATTTCTGTCCAGCAGGCTGTAATCATTTTTCTGTACTGAGAACCCAGTTTGCCCCAATAGCAGTGACTGGACCCTGCAGTCATGACACTTTTATAGGGGAGGGGCACTTTCTGTGGAAGGTGAGGTTGGGGCTGTCCAGTGTACACATGGGGCTTTTACATACATGTGACCATGGGAAATGTCAGACTGCAGTGTTAGAACCTGGCTGCTGCTCAGGCTGTAGCACAAGTGTGCCTGCACCCACAGAATAAATACGTGTAATTTTAAAGACTAAACTTAAAGTGGGCTAGGCTTTAATTCCAGCTTTGGGTAGGAAGAGTCAGAGGCAAACGCGAGTGGATCACAGAGAGTTTGAGGCTATCATGGTCTATATATCCAGTTTCACGCCAGCAATGGTTATATAGATTTTGTCTCATGAAAAGCAAACCAAACCAACAAACAAAGAAATCCAAAGTAGAATATGTCCTGAGTAGGAACGCCTGAGGTTGTCCGCTGGCTTCTACATAGGTGAGCGTACGCGTGCACACATGTGCACCTGAATACAGACACAGACATGTCATGCAGGGAGACATCCATAGCTGATCTGCCCCCACATGTCTATCCAGTCCTCATCCTGAATAAACATGGCCTCCCCAACCCAGCCTCTGTGACTCTCAGACTTCAGTTCCTGGTCATGTCCCCAGCATTCAGACCCTGATTTTATACCCAGCTGTGTTTTTAATGACAGTGGTGGCAGAGAACAGGCTCAACCCTTCTTGTTTCTGCCTGAACCATCCAGTTCTAGAAACTTCCCTCAAATAATACAGTGAAGGGCAGATGGGCCCCATCCCAGCAAACAACTCATAGATGGAAAGTGTCCATCTGTCCATCCATCTGTCACATCATCCAGTTTCCCTCTCCCAGAATTCTTTTCCCAGTGACAACTGATGCAGCCCAGAAGGAACCCAGAGTAGCTGCCCAGACTGGATCCTGAGAGAGTTGAGGGGAAGCTTGAGAGAGGGTGGAGGATGATGACCTGTGGTGTAGACAGGACACTCAGGCTGCAGCTAGGACATTACAGGAGAGCAGATGCCCCGCACCCATCTGAACCCATTTTTTTCTCCCATCGATGACATAAACATCTGTCATTTCTGCCCAATGTCAGTGTGAGCACCTCCCTGCATACCTGTAGAGGGGAGCCCCAAGAATAGAATCTTTACCGTGTCCTAAAATCCAGTGAGTGGCTGGGTGACCAGATGAGCCACCTACTCCTCTGGATGAAGTCTTCCAGATTCTGCAGATAGCCAAGGCAGAGGAAGGAAGTCACATGTCACTGAGTTTGAGGTCACAGAAACTGAGACGCTCTCAATTTCCTCTTCAAGTTTCTATATTGCTTAAATGAAACTATTCATAGTTACAAAATTTATTTCAGTGAATCTAAAGGAAAACTGGTTATGTCTTCAAGTTCTCTGTCTCCAAACAAAGTGAACTAATGGATGACCTGCCTCCCTGACCTCTCTACTGTTTGGGTTTGGTTAGCTCTGGTTTGTTGGTTTTAAAACAGAATCTCGTGTAGCCTAAACTGGACTCAGACTCTAGGTACTAATGATAGTTTCCAATTCATAATCTTGCTATGTCTACCTGTCAGTTATTGGGATTACAGGCTTATGTCACCATGCCTGGATTCCTCTAGTATTTTTTGTTACGTAATGGCTCTGGCCGGAGAACACAAATCCTAAACTGTGGTAGCCTGGCTAGACCCCATGTCTGCTCTTATTCAAACAGTCCTGCTCCCTGCACCCTGAGGGAATTTTATGTAAATGATGTTGAGAATGCTGGATCTTTGTAAACCTTTGCTGTGGGTCTCTTTATTTTTCCTCCTTTTTGAACAAGGGAAATTTACATGGCAAGTCACATGTCTATCAGAGTAATGTCCATGAGGCCCCTTCTCTGTGCCCAGCTGCCTGGACGGAGGTGATAGTGAATTAACCATACTGTAGATGACTGGGCAGATGGTCATCATGGCAGCCTGCTCGTGTGAACCCCTCATGGATGCTCAGAGGAAACACCACCCCAGATGCCAAGATCACTGTGACCACAGCTGCAGCTGAGTTCATCCTCAGAGGCTTGGATCCAGTGACACCACAGCAGACATCTCACAGCTGCTCCAGGGGACTCTACTTTAGTCATGAGAAGCCTTGGTGACTTCTCCATCACCCCTCTAGCTTCAGCAAGTCCTCTGGGGATGGGACAGTTTTCCAAAGACTCAGCAAAGGCCCCTGATTGATTCACAGTTGAAACTTCTCACTGATGGAATAAGAGCAGCATCTATGCAGGACTGTGATTGGTGGATCTGAATCATGCATACCTGTCTTAGGGTTTCTATTGCTGTCAAGAGACACCATGAGCATGACAACTCTTATAAAGAAAGTAATTAATTTGGGTGGCTTACAATTTCAGAGGTTTAGTGCATTATCTTCATGGTGGGACATGGTACCATGCAGGCAGACATGGTGCTGGAAAAGGAGCTGAGACTTATCAATCTGACATGAAGTGAACAGTATCTCCAGAAAGTTCATCCTGAGCATAGGACCTAAAACACACCCCCACAATGACTCACTTCCTCCAACAAGGCCACACCTACTCCAACAAAACTATGCCTCCTAATAGTGCCACTCCCTATGGGCATATGGGGCCAACTACAGTCACACTGCCACAATGCCCATGCACCTCCTTTGGCTGTGAGAGCAGCCTGGATTTCATCCTTATTGGTCAGTGTGGATGCTGTCCTTATGTCTCAGCATGCTCTTTGGTAGACGCTGGCCCACAGGCTATCAAATGTTAAGACAGACTCGACTTGGGAAGGAAATCTTGTCCTAGGGGAGACCCGAGAGGTCAGAACATCAACATGGCAGAAAATAAGGAAAGTGGGTGGATGTAGATGGACCTGTGAGGAAAGGAAGCCCAGTTTGAGACCCAAGCAAGCCATGGTCTGTCACCTGAGGAGATGCATGGAGGGGCCTAGGGTTGTGGCTGAGATGACAGTGTCCAGGGAGAACGGGAGAGAGGAACAGGGTTCTCATGCAGTGGTTCTCAGTGTGGACCTTGTTACCTGCTTCTCTCTGTGTCTCTGCTCCTGGACACAATCTGCTACTCTCTAAGGTCTCATGTCTGTGTGGGGGGAGGGCAGCGTTAAGAGAGACATGAGATCAAGTGTGGGGAGTAGAATATTTATTAAAAAGTGTTATTAATTCCATGGACAGATAGGAAACAGCACAGTTGGAATCTCAGCAAAAGAGACAGACAGATTGACTGGGTTCTGAGGAAAGGAAATCAGAGCGCACATGTCAGAAGTGGGGTTCTCTTCTTGTACCTGTCCATGGACGGATGTTTCACAGCACAGGTCTGCAGCCATGATTTCTGATACCAGGCCGTAGTCAGGGAAGGGGTGAGATGCAGGATGTGTGGCCACCAATCCCTACTTTGATGAAAACTCACCACCCTGGAGTTCTGTTAGCTGGGGACTAACAGACAGTGCTGTGCCTAAGAAGGAGAGGACAGACTTCCATAGTCAGTTTTCTACTTGCCCCACTCTGTTCCCCCAAATGGACGCAGGTTTTTGGGCTCGACTCCTGACACCTATTCCCACTGAGCTCTCTCTGTGCTCCCGACTTTTCTTTTGTCCATTAATATACCATTTTCAAATACTTCATTTAAAGTAAATTTGGAAAATGTTATAACCATGATTTATCCCCTTGAAGATTTCACATTATTTTTTATGACATGGTTTCTTATTGGCCTGGAACTCAGCAATTAAGCTAGACTAGCTGGACAGACAGCTCCACTAATCTGGCTGTCACTTGCTTGTCCAGACTGGGATTACATATTTTTGTCACTCCCCTGGCTGCTCCCAGTGAGACTCAGGTTCTCTGCCCGTGTTCAAGGGTTTCTAACTCAGAGCAACTCGCTAGCTCCCTTGCATGCCTCTCATAACAAACTTCCTCAAGCAGGTGCTGACCTGCTCCTTGGGATGACAGCTGCTCACCTGGCTGGGGTGTCAGCTTTAGTCTGCTGGACTGTAGGAGAAGAAACAGTGTCAGTGTGGCAGTCATGTTGTTCCTCCATCAGCCTCTCATCTGTTCTCTGTTCAACATTAGGGGCCCAGGACAGCAAACAGCTCTGAAGCAAATATTCGAGGACAGGTCTGAGAGTCCCCAGGACCTGCGTCCATTCTTCAGCTGTCCTTCTGCACAGCACAGCCAATCAGAGGACAACTCTCCTGTCCACTGCCCCTTATCCATGTCCTTCTTTCTTTCCTTCCTTCCCCTGTCTTGAACTCATGTCCCTTCCCTGCTCTCCCTGCTCTGCACTCACCAGGCCTCCCTTTTGTCTCCCTGGAACCTGGCTCCCTGGCTTCCCTGTGAGTGCAACTGCTGCTCCCTGCAGATTCAGTCTCAGGGTTTGAATCCCAGTCAGACTTCTGCTGCCTCCCAGACTGCTGCTCTCCACCTCTCAGCTCCACTTTTTAACTATTGCAGGGCTGAGCCCTTCTGAAAATCAGGGCCTGCATGTTCAAGTCTGTGTTTCTGGACTTTCCATTACACTCCACTATCTGCTCATCTCTGCTCCCGTCCTGTAGTCTTCTTACCGTTGATTTAGGTCTGCTCTGAATCCAGTCCACACTTTGCTTTTGTTTTATGTGTATCAAGATCTTGTGACCTTCAACTTTCTATGTAACTTCATAACAGCTTGAACTCTTAATTCCGCCCCTGTGCACTTCCCAATGCTGGGATTAAGGTGTCCCCTACCATGTTCCAATGTTTGTTTCTTAGAATCATTTTGATTTTAGAAGACAAATCATTTGTCTTTACAGAAAAACAATTGGGATTTGAATGGAGACTGCATTGACTTTTTAGACTGTTTTGCATTGCAAAAGTTATTGTATAAAATTTTCCATTATTCAAATGTCCTTACATATTTCAATATTTTCCTACCTTTTATAAATTTATGTTTGTGCCGCACATATATGTATGTGTACATTTGCATATGTGCACACGCATGTAGGTGGTAGTGGACCACCTTGGGTATTATCCCGCAGGAGCTGTCTACTATAGTTTTGGGGACAGTTCTGCCCTTGATTGTGGTTCACTGATTGACAAGCCTGGCAGCACAGTTAACCTCACGGATCCTATCGTCTCTTTCTGTCCAGTATCTGCCAATGTGGTCAACTTTATCTGTGAATCCTGGGGATGGAATCCATGTTTTTGTGTTTATGAAAAACACTTCACCAACTGATCTGTCTTCTGGCTGCTCTGCAATTTTTCTCAGCAGTGTGTAGTTTTTAGGGTACAAATCTTTCACCTCTCTTAGTGTAGGCTGTTCTCAAAAATGTTCTTTTCACCTGTGGGTGTATTGCACACTGTTGTTTAATTTCTGTGTTAATACCATATCCCCAACTCAAACAGATCTCTCTATTCATGGTCTCACTTCTGTGAGATGCTGTCCCTGAAGGCTGGTCTAGCTCAGACCTTGTTTAGTAGACACAGCTCTTTCCAAATGAGCAGTTAGCCCCTGGGGCTCCCGCGTGCCCCTTGAATTCCTTAGGAGCAGGCTGTGTTCATCTGCACTTGATCCTCTAATTTCCAGCTGGGATCTAAGGAAGTAGGAGCAGATTCAGTCCTGGGTGGGTTCAGCCTCCTTTCTGTCCTTCTGTCCTTCTGTTCTCCGCCCCACACAAGTTTACTGTGCTGGCTGTTCTTGTCAACAGGACTGTATCGGGAATGAATTGTAATCCAGTAATGAAGGGCACACTTGTGGTCTGGATCTTGAAGGAGGAAGACAGCATGCCTTTGATCCAGACCATGAGGCTGAAGGGCACACCTTTCACCTGGACCACACCTTCTGTTGGAAGCCAGTGCAAGGGCAAAGGAAGCAGGAAGAGTGTCCTCCATCTGCCTGTGCTCACCTCCATCATCACATTAATTTTCATAGTCAAGATCCCAACAAAGCAACTGAGACACCCAGCCTAATGGGACTGAGCAACTACTGGGTCCTTGGTCTTTCCATTCACAGTTAATCATTGTTGGATGGCAGCCATAAGTCATTTCAATAAATTACCATATATTCATTGTATATATTCAAAAATATTTCACTATATATTTATACATATATTCATTCCATAAATTCTGTGACTCTACAGAATTCTGACTAATACATTTACCTATCTCCATGTCCCACAGCTGAGAAAACTCAGAGGTAAGCTCAGGTGAGAGCCTGTCCTGGACCACTCACCTTTTCTTCCACCAGAGGAAGATCAGCATCACAAAGACGGGAGTTATGAGCACAGCCGTGGCCACCACCACCCCAATAATGGCTCCTAGGTTCATGAGTGAAGGATTCCTCTGGCCCTCTGTGTCCTCCAGTCCAGCCATGGCGACTACAGAGGTGACGATGGAGGGGCTCTGCATGGTGGTGCTGACTGCTGGGGAGAGATGAGGAGTGAGCAGATCCTCCCTGGATGAGGAGGGATGGGGGGAGTGTCACATCTTGTCTCCTCTGTGGGAGGTGGGATGGGGAGCAGCTGTTAGAAATTCACAGAGGGGAACACATGCTGAAGGCTGAGCCTCTAGGAGAGCAAGCTCAGTGCACACCCTCCACCTGTCCTGGCTGTGTGTCCTCAGATTTACATTTAGTCACAGATAATTAAGTCATTGAAATACGGTTGTTTTGGTCATAAATGCATGGAACAAGCAGATATCTCAGTCTGTATTGTGTTTGCTCTCGGGAACATAGAAGCCAAGTTTGATCTCTAGAATCCGTTTGAAGAGCCTGGTCACCTGGGCATGGCCTTTAATCTTAGCCCTAGACCAGAGACAGGGAGATCTATGTGAGTTAAAGCCGGCCTGTCTACGTATATTTAGTTCCACACCAAACAGAGTTGAGTGAATTGTGTCTCAGTAAAAAAGTGGCGGCGACAGGCATGTCTATGGGACTCACTGGTTAGCCATCCTAGTCTATTTGACAAACTTGAAGCTAGTGAGAGACCCTGTCTCAGAAAATAAGGGAACGGCTCCTGAATGTTTCCTCTAGCGTCTAAATGCATATGAAGAATAGTCATTGCTTACACACACACACACACACACACACACACACACACAGAGAGAGAGAGAGAGAGAGAGAGAGAGAGAGAGAGAGAGAGAGACACGAATTAACAGACCCTCATGATCACACACACAAAATATACAAAATGTATAACAGAATATATATAATTTTGACCATAGGTGTCCAGCACAGAATAGGGCAGTATACATTCATCTGCTCTGCAATCCACACAAAGGTCAATGTCCACATTTATCTATTTGGAAACACTAGACCTGGGGTTTGCTACCCCCACAGTGGCAGAATATGAGATAAAAAGCAATCAGATATTTACAGTACGATTCATATCAGTAGCAAAATTATAGTTATGAAGCAGCCATGAAAACAATTTTATGGTGAGGGCGTCACCACAACGTGAGGAACTGTATTAAAGTGTGTTTCCATTAAGTAGGTTGAGAATCACTACTCGAGACCCAGGAAACAGCTCCTTACTCTCCCTTCCCTGAGCCCTGGCAGCTGCGGTTAGACATTACATCAGGTCAACATGGCAGCCGTAGAGACTGCACAAGAACTGTGCTGTGGGCGTCCTGTCACAGGTTGGTTTTAATCCAATCAACAGCCACCGCTGGATGTGGTGGCTCAGGCCTTTAATCTCAGCACTCGGGAGACAGAAGTAACAGGTTTCTGTGAGTTCCAGAACAACCAGCGTTACATGGTGAGACCCTGTCTTGTGTAAACCATAAAAGTACACACACACACACACACGCGCACACACATACGTGTGCGTGTGTGAGTATATATATATATATATATATATATATATATATATATATATATATGAGCATCAGAGCAAGGTTGTGGTCAACCAGGAAGCACACAGAGTCCCCAGCTTCTGCAGGACCATGTAAAGGGTGCAGGGATAACAGCAAGGTAGAATTCCACACAGTATTCCCAGTGCATGGGTCTGCAGTTACTTATGCTTCAGAGGAGAGGCAAAGATCAGAAGAGAGTGCAGTCATATCATAAAAATGGGGACATTAGTTCCCAAGACCCTTGGGGCTTGTGTGGGAGAGCTGAGGTAGGAGGGCAAGGAGGGGAGACGGGAGTGGGGAAATGAAGACCCTATAAGGGAGTTGTCCGGAGAATTCCTACAGAGCTACAAGGTCAGAGGAGACGGCAAACAACCACAATGGAAAGAAAATGTTTGCAGTGTTCTGCGCAGAGCCAAGGAAGAGGAATATCAAACTAAGGTCAGAATTGTGGAGCCTGAGGTGACATCTAGAGGACAAGGAAGCAAGAGGCATCAAAGCCTGAGCCAGGGTGGCTCACCAGGAGTGGAGGTGAGGGTGAGTTGGGTCCCTTTAGTAGACTGCATAAACTCTATGTGTTTTGTCGTTTTCAGACTAACTCGGCAGAAGTACACTGTCTGGTCCTTCTTCTTCAAGTCCAGGATTCTGAGGACTCCGGATGTCTGAGGCTGTGTCCAGTTCAGGATGAGCCGGTCCTTGAAATGCTTATGTATGAAACCCGAGGTAGAGTTGTAGATAAATTCCCCGTGGTAGTTCTTCCATCTCCAGAGAATCCTCATCTGTGAATCTGGTGCCAACTCCCAGGGGAAGTAGAAGGAGAAGGGGATCTCGATGGAGCTGCCCTGGACACCAGAGAGGTATGCTGGTTGGTTGACCCCAAATTCTTTTACTCTGTTGGATTCTGCTGAGTTCCCTGGGAAAATCGAGGAGAATCTGAAGTCGGCAGGGGATGGAAAGCACAGCCCAGAGCTTCCCGAGCCTTCATCCACAGGCAGGTGTGGGACACAGGGGAGGACTACCCCCATGTCCTACTGTCCCATATGGGACAAGCCGATGGGGAAAGGTTGGGCAGGACCAGCTCTGAGGATGAAATTTCTCTTGGAGCACAGAGGAAAGCCTGGCTCCTAGAGCAGTCACCTCTCCACATGCCAGCCGGCTCTTCCCAGCCCCACTCACCCCTCCTGTGATTAAGTCCCCAGTAGTGAGGTTCCCACCACTCACCAGCTGACAGCAGCAGAAGCAGGAACCAAGACAAGGCCTGCATCATTCCAGGAAAGGAGACCAGCGGAGCCATCAGATGGGAGAACAGTCCCTGTGGATGGACCCTGGGGTGCTCATGAGTCAGGAGAGAATCAAAGTAGAGTGACCCACATTCCCTGGCTCTTTTCATGTGGAGGACTGATGGGAGCAGGACCGCCCCATCTCCACCTCCTCGTGGGCAGCAACTTCCTTTATCATTCTTGCTTCTTCTTTCCCTTTTTAAAGAAGATTCGCCCTTGTGGTCACTGAGAAGATGACTGAGTCCTTGAGCCCAGCCCCAATTTTTGGCTGGAAGAAACAGACTTGACCTCTGATGCTGGGCTCTCCTCTCTTCCACCTTGACCTCCTGTCTCATCCAGTCTTTCCCATTCCCTATGGCGCCTGCAATCACTGTTTCCTCAGCTCTGTAATTTCCTCCACTCCCGTCTTCACCTCAGTCTGTTTCTCACTGTGTTTCCTCTCAAGCTGGTTGCCCGTGTCTTTCTCACTAATGATCAGAGGTAAAGAACTGATCGGTTCCTGGTCACTTCAGACACAATGAGAAAGGGGCTGATGAGAAAACACATTCAGTCCCCAGCCCTAGTATGGTGACCCCATCTTCATCTGCTCTTAGACCTTTTGTTTCCCTCAGGGACTCCTCACTGCGCTCCAGGAAAACCAATGTCCACTGGGCACTCCTGTTCTGACTGCCTGCTGCTGTTGAGTCTGGGCTTCCTGGGTGACTGTCTCCCTCACCTCGACAGTGACTCCCAAGCTACTCCAGCTTCTGAAGAAGCCTTTCTGCCCCTCCCCAACCTTAATACACACTCAGAAGAGGAAACCAAAGATCAGAGAAGCCCTGGCACATGTCACATGACTGGAACACAGCAGGTGCTAGACTTCAGTCCCATGGAGATCTTGTATTCCTCCACTCCACATAGATTTCTGGCTGCCTGCTTGGTGCAGCCTCTAAACTCCCCTCAAAGGCCACGAATCTGCTGCTGGCCTCCCAGGATGCTGTTCCCACAAAACCCTTGAGTGATTCCTTCTATCTATGTCTGTTCTAGAACCTTCTTTGCATGAAGTGGGAAGAAGGCTCAGAGCAGCAGTGTGTCATTATTGATATATTGCCTGGGACATTTGTGAGAGTGGACACAGCTGGGCTGTGGCTGGGGTGTATGTGTGGGAAGCAGGGACAGAGGCTGTGGTGTCCTCAGGGCTGGTTCTGCAGGAGCTCGTCCCACCCTTTCTCATGACCAGGTGTCATCAGTTCTCTGAAGAGCAGGAAGACAAGACTGTGCCAGAGGAAGAGACATTATTCTCTCTGAGTGACATGCTTCCCTTTTCATGCTTCCCTGCAGGTGCCTATGCAGCGCCCTCTGTCATGTCTTCTTTCTCTGCCTTCCTCACAGTCCCCATGGTCCTCTGATCCCTTGACCTGAGCTCTCACAGTCATGGCCCTCATTCTCACGGCCTCACTGCCAGCTGCACATGGATGCACTTCTGTATCCATCCATCCTGTCCTTGGAGATGCAGAGCACAGAACCTTAGGGATGATTTAGCCCCAAATGGACCATCAGTCAGGAGAGGGGACTGGGCCTATTGTACCTGTCAGAAAGTCCCCGCTTATTGCATGAGGTCTCAAGCTGAGCCTTGAACTTGTTATGTAGTCAAGGATGACTTTGAACTTCTAAAGAACCTCCTCTCTGTCCTCCCATGTGCTGGGTGACAGGTGTACCCCATTATTCCCCTTTGTCCCTGCTGGAGATAGAACCTAAGGTTTTGTGCATGCCAGGCAGGTAAGCACTCCACCAGATGAACCTTGTCTTTATCCTCAGTGAGGTATGAAAGGGGACCCTCCTCATCAGAAGTACTCACCTCAGGTTTCCTCTGGCCTTGCCCTACTGTCTGGGGCCTGTGGGTAAAAGTTATCTGATGACAAAGTCTCTCAAGGAGGGGCTGGACCCGATGAGGTTGCATTATGTCAGCTGCTGGTCTCCTTCATTTCTTAAAGTTTTCTTTTGTTTTTAATTCTGCCATTTTCTCTTAAATTTTAGGTATTAAAAAGATAACAGAAAAAAGCTCTTGTTTCTTGAGGATCCCAGCTGCACCTTGTGGTGAACCCCACTGCTGCCACCTGCTGGATCCTTAATCCCAAGTCATGGACTCTGTTCTAGTCTCAAGTCCTGGACTCATTGAATCCCCATAGAGATCCTGCTGTGAGATGGTGTCTGTCCAGGATGATGTAATCAGTCTCCTGCAGTGACAGCCATGTTTCTGTGGAGGAGAAGACTGGACTGTGGGGTGCACACATGGGGCTTTTACATACATGTGACCATGGGGAGTGTCAGACTGCAGTGTTAGAACCTGACTGCTGTTCAGGCTGTAGCACAAGTGTGCCCTACACCCACAGAATAAATGAGGGTAATTTTAAAAGCCACTTAAAGTGGGCTAGGCATGACAGTGCATGCCTTTAATTCCAGCATTGAGGAGGCAGAGGCAAACGCGAGTGGATCTCAGTGAGTGTGAGGCTATCCTGGTCTATATATCAAGTTCCAGGCCAGCAATGGCTATATAGAATTTGTCTCATAAAAACCAAAAGAACAAAAAAAAATCCAAGGTGGAATGTGTTTTGAGTAGTAATGCCTGAGTTTGTCCGCTGGCCTCCACATAGGTGAGCACACTCATGCACACATGTGCACCTGAATACAGACACAGAAGTGTCATGCAGGGAGACATCCACAGCTGATGTGCCATGCATGTATACCCAGTCCTCATCCTGAGTAAACATGGCTTCCCCAGGCCAGTCTCTGAAAGTCTTCAGACTCCAGTTCCTGATGGTGTCCCCATCATTTAGACCCTGATTTTAATCCCAGCTGTATTTCCCCATGACAGTGATGGCAGAGAACAGACTCAACCCTCCCTATTTCCATCTGACCCTTCCAATTCCTTTAAATAACACAGTGAAGGGCAGATGGGCCCCACCCCAGCAGACAACTCATAGATGAAAACTGTCCATCTGTCCATCCATCTGTCACACCATCCACTCTCCCACTCCTTGAGTTCTCTTTCCCAGTGAAAACTAATGCAGCCAAGAAGGAATCCGGAGTAGCTGCCCAGACTGGGTCCTGAGAGAGCTGAGGGGATGCTTGAGAGAGGGTGGAGGATGATGACCTGTGGTGTAGACAGGACACTCAGGCTTCACTAGGACATCACAGTAGCACAGTTGCCCTGCCCCCATCTGAATCTTTTTTCTCCCCTTGATGACATCAACATCTGTCAGTTGCTGCCCAACCTCAGTGTATCTCCTTGCACCCCTGTAGAGGGGAGCCTAGAGAAGAAACTCTATACGGTGTCCTGAAGTCCAGTGAGTGACTAGGTTACCACATCAGCCACCTACTCCTCTGGATGAAGTCTCCCAGATCCTGCAGATAGCCAAGGCAGAGGAAGAAACTCACAAGTCACTGAGTTTGAGGTCACAGAAACTGAGAAACTCTCCATTTCCTCTTCAACTTTCTTTATTGCTTTAATAAAACTATCAATCGTCACAAAATTTATTTTAGTGAATCTAAAGGAAAACTGATCACATCTTCAAGTTCTCTGTCTCCAACCAAAGTGAAGTAATGGATGACCTGCCTCCATGACCTCTCCGCTGTTTGGAGTTTTGGTTAGCTTTGGTTAGTTGGTTTCAAAACAGAGTCTCATGTAGCCCAGGCTGGCTTAAGACTCTATAGGTACTGATGATAGCTTCCAATTCTTCATCTTGCTATCTCTCTCTACCTGTTTATTAGTGGAATTACAGGCTCATGCCACCATGCCCGGATTGCTCTAGTACTTTTTGTTACATAATGGCTCTGGCTGGGGAACAAAAATCTGAAAGAGTGGTAGCCCGCCTAGACCCCATGTCTGTTCCCATTTAAACAGTCTTGCTTTCTTCACCCTGAGGAAATTTTATGTAAATGATGTTGAGAATGCTGGTTCTGTGTAAGTCTTTGCTGTGGGCCTGTTTATCGTTCCTCCTTTTTGAACAAGGGAAACTTATATGGCAATCCACGTGATCACTGAAGTACCATCCATGAGGCCCCTTCTCTGTTCCCAGCTGCCTGTATGGAGGTGATGGTGAATTAACTCTCTTTTAGGTGACTGAGCAGATGGTCACCATGGTAGCCTGCCTGTGTGAACACCCAAGAATGCTCAGAGGAGACACCATTCCAGTTGCCAAGATCACTGTGACCACGGCTGCTGTTGAGTTCATCCTCAGAGGGTTGGATCCAGTTACGCCACAGCAGACATCTCACAGCTGCCCCAGGGGACTCTACTTTAGTCATGAGAAGCCTTGGTGACTTCTCCATCACCCCTCCTAGCTTCAGCTAGTCCCATGGCGATGGAACAGTTTTCCAAAGACTCAGCAAAGGTCCCTGATTGATACAGATTTGAGACTTGTCACTGATGAAATAAGAGCTGCATCTATGCAGGACTGTGATTGGTGGATCTGAATCAAGCATGCCTGTCTTAGGGTTTCTATTGCTGTCAAGAAATACCATTGGATTGGCAACTCTTATAAAGGAAAGAATTTGGTGTGGCTTAGAATTTCAGGGATTTAGTTCATTATCTTCATGGTGGGACATGATAGCACGCAGGCAGACATGGTGCTGGAAAAGGAGCTGAGACTTATCCATCTGAATCCACAGGTAACATGAAGACAACAGTATCTCCGGATAGTGTATTCTGAGCATAATACCTAAAACCCACCCCCACAACGTCTCACTTCCTCCAACAAAGCCACACCTACTCTAACAAAGCTATGCCTCCTAATAGTGCCACTCTTTATGGGCATATGGGGGCCAACTACAGCCACACTGCCACAGTGCCCATGCACCTTTTCTGGCTCTGAAAGCAGCCTGGATTTCATCCTTAATGGTCAGTCTGGATGCTGTCCTTATGTCCCAGCACGTTCTGTGGTAGAAGCTGACCCACTGGCTATCAAATGTTAGACAGACTGGACTTGGGAAGGAAATCTTGTCCTAGGGGAGACCCCAGAGGTCAGAGCATCCACATGGCAGGAAATAAGGAGAGTGGGTATATGTAGATGGGCCTGTTAGGAAAGGAAACCCAGCATGGGACCCAAGCAATCCATGGTCTGTCACCTTAAGGGGGTCATGGAGGGGTCGGTGGGGTGACTAACTTGTCAGTGTCCAAAGAGAATGGAGAGAGGAACAGGGTTCTCATGCAGTGGTTCTCAGTGTGAACCATGATTCCTGCCTCTCTCAGTGTTCCTGCTCGTGGACACAATCTGCTATTCTCTAAGGTCTCACATAGGTGTTAAGAGAGACAGGATATGCATTGTTAGGAGGAAGATATTTATTAAAAATGTTATGAACTCCATAGACAGATAGAAAACAGCACAGTTGGGATTTCAGGACCAGAGACAGACAAATTACTGGGTTCCGAGGAAAGGAAATCAGAGTTCACATGGCAAAAGTGGGGTTCTCTTCTTGTACCTGTCCATGGATAGGATGTTTCAAGCACATCCTGCAGCCCTGCTCTCTGATTCCCAGGCATTGGTGAGGGAAGAGGTTGAGATGCAGGATGTGTGGCCACCAATCCCTACTTTGATGGAAACTCACCACCCTGTAGAGCAGTGCTGGCCCCTGGAGTTCTGTTAGCTGGGGACTAACAGACAGTGCTGTGCCTAAGAAGGAGAGGACAGATTTCCATAGTCAGTTTTCTACTTGCCCCATTTAGGTCCCCCAAATGAATGCAGGTCATTGGGCTTGGCTGCAGACACCTTCTCCCACGGAGCTCTCTCTGTGCTCCCCACTTTTCTTTTGTCCATTAATATGCATTTTTTCTTTTTTTTTTAAATTTATTTATTTATTTATTTATTTATTTATTTATTTATTTATTTTACAATAGTCTGTCTGCAGGCCAGAAGAGGGCACCAGACCTCATTACAGATGGTTGTGAGCCACCATGTGGTTGCTGGGAATTGAACTCAGGACCTCTGGAAGAGCAGGCAGTGCTCTTAACCGCTGAGCCAATCCTCCAGCCCCTTAATATGCAATTTTTAAACCTTTCATTTAAAATAAACGTAGAAAATGCCATGACCAACCATGATTTATCCCCTTGAAGAATCCACATTGTTTTTTATGACATGGTTTTTTTATTGGCCTGGAACTCAGCAGCTATGCTACACTAGCTGGACAGACTGCTCCACTAATCTGGCTGTCACTTGCTCAATCAGAACTGGGATTACATATTTCTGTCACTCCCCTGGTTTCCAGTGTGGGTGCTCCCAGTCAGACTCAGGTCCTCCTGTCCATGTTCAAAGGTTTCTAAGTCAACCATCTCCCTAGCTCCCTTGCATGCCTCTCATAACAAACATCCTCAAGCAGGTGCTGACCTGCTCTTTGGGATGACAGCTTCTCACCTGACTGGGGTTTCAGCTTTAGTCTGCTGGCCTGTAGGAGAAGAACCAGTGTCAGTGTGGCAGCCATGCTGATCCTCCATCAGCCTCTCAGCTGTTCTCTGTTCAACATTAGGGGCCCAGGACAGCAAACAGCTCTGAAGCAGATATTCGAGGACAGGTCTGAGAGTCCCCAGGACCTGCGTCCATTCTTCAGCTGTCCTTCTGCACAGCACAGCCAATCAGAGGACAACTCTCCTGTCCACTGCCCCTTGTCCATGTCCTTCTCCCTTTGCTTCCTTCCCCTGTCTTGAACTCATGTCCCTTCCCTGCTCTCCCTGCTCTGCACTCACCAGGCCTCCCTTTTGTCTCCCTGGAACCTGGCTCCCTGGCTTCCCTGTGAGTGCAGCTGCTGCTCCCTGCAGATTCAGTCTCAGGGTTCAAATCCCAGTCAGACTTCTGCTGCCTCCCAGACTGCTGCTCTCCACCTCTCAGCTCCACTTTTTAACTATTGCAGGGCTGAGCCCTTCTGAAAAGCAGGGCCTGCATGTTCAAGTCTGTGTTTCTGGGCTTTCCATTACACTCCACTATCTGCTCCTCTCTGCTCCTGTTCTGTAGTCTACACATTATGGATTTAAGTCTGCTCTGAATCCAGTTCACACTTTACTTTTATTTTATGTGTGTACAAGATTTGTGAAAGCCAGGTTGACCTTCAACTTTCTATGTAACTTCATAACAGCTTGAACTCTTAAATCCGCGCCCATGCACTACCCAATGCTGGGATTAAGGTGTCCCCTACCATGTTCCCATGCTTGTTTCTTAAAATCATTTTGATTTTAGAAGACAAATCATTTGTCTTTACAGGAAAACAATTGGGATTTGAATAGAGACTGCACTGACTTTTTAGACTGTTTCGCATTGTAAAGAGTTATTGTATAAAATTTTCCATTATTCAAATGTCCCTACATATTTCAATATTTTCCTACTTTTTATAAATTTATATTTGTGCAGTACATATATGTATGTGCATGTAGGGAGCCGCCAGGAGAAAATCGCCATTACAAGATGGCGCTGGTGGTCCTGCAGCTTGGAAGTAAACAAGTCCTTATTTGGTATTGCCATGTGGGGTTGAGCGCCCTTTGCCTGCACATGCGCAATTGAGCCTTGTCCCTGGCCAATCCCAAGGCTCCGGGCATCAGCAGACTGGTTTTCACCAATCAGGACAATACCCGAGTCCCTCCACCCTATATAAGCAGATGCCGCTTGGCTTTCGCGCTCTCTCTCTCGCTTCCCACTCTTCCTTCAACCAAGAGGCTCCAATAAAGTGTGATGTGAGAAGAATCCTCGACTTGTGGTCGTTCTTCCTTGCTGGAAAGGGGCTCGCCACATGTGCACATTTCCATATGTGCACACGCATGTGGGTGGTAGTGGACCACCTTGGGTATCATCCTGCAGGAGCTGTCCACTAGAGTTTTGGGGACAGGTCTGCCCTTGATTGGGGTTCACTGATTGGGCAAGACTGGCAGCATAGTGACCCTCATGGATCCTATCATCTCTTCCTGCCCAGTATCTGCCAATGTGGTCAACTTTAGCTGTGAATTTTAGAGATAGAACCCATGTCCGTGTGTTTGTGGGTTAAGCACTTTACCAATTGAGCCATCTCCTGGATGCTCTGTAATTTCTCTCAGCAGTATGGCATTTTTAAGAGTACAAATCTTTCACCTCTTTTAGTGTAGGTTCTTCCCAGACATGTTCCTTTCCCCTGCTGGTCTATTGCACACCGTTGTTTAATTTCTGTGTTAATACCATATCCCCAACTCAGTCAGTTCTCTCTCTTCGCGGTCTCACTTCCTGTGAGATGCTGTCCCTGAAGGCTGCTCTTACCTCAGACCTTAGTTGAGGTAAGAGCAGCCACAGCTCTTTCCAAATGAGCAGTTAGCCCCTGGGGCTCCCGCGTGCCCCTTGAATTCCTTAGGAGCAGGCTGTGTTCATCTGCACTTGATCCTCTAATTTCCAGCTGGGATCTAAGGAAGTAGGAGCAGATCTAGTTCTGGTTGAGTTCAGCCTCCATTCTGTCCCTGTGTCCTCTGAACTCTGCCCCACACAAGTTTTCTGTGCTGGCTGTTCTGGTCAACAGGACTGTATCGGGAATGAATTGTAGTCCAGTAATGAAGGGCACACTTGTGATCTGATTTTGAGGGATGAAGACAGCACGACTTTCATCCAGACCATGAGTCTAAAAAGCACAACTTTCACCTGGACCACACCTTCTGTTGGAAGCCAGTGCAAGGGCAAGGGAAGCAGGAAGAGTATAAACTCCTATGTATTCATTTTATATATATATATATATATATATATATATATATATATATATCACTATATATTTATACATATATTTATTCCATAAATTCTGTGACTCTACAGAACCCTTACTAATACACATACTTATCTCCATGTCCCACAACTGAGAAAACCCAAAGGTAAGTTCAGGAGAGAGCCTGTCCTGGACCACTCACCTTTTCTTCCACCAGAGGAAGATCAGCATCACATAGACGGGGGTAATGAGCACAGCTGTGGCCACCACCACCCCGACTGGCTCCCAGGCTCACAAGTGAAGGATTCCTCTGGCCCTCTGTGTCCTCCAGGCCAGTCGTGGTGACTGCTGAGGTGATGATGGAGGGGCTCTTCATGGTGGTTCTAACTGCTGGGGAGAGATGAGGAGTGAGCAGATCTTCCCTGGATGAGGAGGGATGGGGTGAGTGTCACATCTTGTCTCCTCTGTGAGCAGTGGGGTGGGGAGCAGCTGTTAGAAGTTCACAGAGGGGAACACATACTGAAGGCTGAGACTCTGGGAGAGCAAACTCAGTTCACATCCTCCACCTGTCCTGGTTGTGTGTTCTCAGATCTTCTTTTGATTATCACAGAAATTAATTATCACAGATTATTAAGTCACAGAAATACAGTTGTTTTGGTCCTAAATGTATGGAACAAGCAGACGTCTCAGTCTGTATCGTGTTTGCTCTCAGGAACTTTAGACCCCGAATTGATCCCAGAATCCATTTGAAGAGCCTGGTGAGCTGGACATGGCCTTTAATTCTAGCCCTAGAGGCAGAGGCAGGCAGATCTATGTGAGTTTAAATCAGCCTGTCTATATATTTTTAGTTCCACACCAAACAGAGTTGAGTGAGTTGTGTCCCAGTAAAAGGAGGTGGTGACAGGCAGGTCTCCAGGGCTCACTGGCTAGCCAGCCTAGTCTACTTGGCAAACTTGAAGCTGGTGAGAGACCCTGTCTCAGAAAATAAGGGAACAGCTCCTGAATGTTTCCTCTTAGCTTCTGAATGCATATGAAGAATTGTCAACTCCTACACACATACATACAGACAGACAGACAGACAGACAGACACACACACACACACACACACACACACACGAATTAACAGACCCTTATGATCACACACAAAAATACACAAAATGTATAACAGAAAATATTGAATTTTGATCATAGGTGTCCAGTTCAGTACTTGGCAGCATACATTCATCTGCTCTGCAATCCACACAAAGGTCAATGTCCACATTTATCTATTTGGAAACACTAGACCAACAGTTCCCAACCTGGGGTTTGCTACCCCCACAGTGGTAGAATATGAGATAAAAAGCAATCAGATATTTACAGTACGATTTATAACAGTAGCAAAATTATAGTTATGAAGCAGCCATAAAAACAATTTTATGGTGAGGGCGTCACCACAACGTGAGGAACTGTATTAAAGTGTGTCTCCATTAAGAAGGTCGAGAATCACTACTCTAGACTCAGGAAACAGCTCCTTACTCTCCCTTCCCTGAGCCCTGGCAGCTGCGGTTAGACATTACATCAGGTCAACATGGCAGCCGTAGAGACTGCACAAGAACTGTGCTGTGCGCGTCCTCTCACAGATTGGCTTTAATTCAGTCAACAGCCACTGCTGGATGTGGTGGCACAGGCCTTTAATCTCAGCACTTGGGAAACAGAGGTAGGTAGATTTCTGTGAGTTCCAGAATAACCAGAACAACTTGGTGAGACCCTGTCTTGTAAAAATCAAAACACCATAATATATATAAACCAGAGGTACAGAGAAAGGTTGTGGTCAACAAGGAAGCATACAGAGTTCCAAGTTCCTGCAGGACCATTTAAAGGGTCGCAGGGATAACAACAACATAGAGTTCTACTCAGTGTTCCCAGTGCGTGGGTCTGCAGTTACTTCTGCTTCAGAGGAGAGGCAGGGATCAGAAGACAGAGACGGCTTATCATGAAAACGGGGACTTTAGTTCCCAAGACTCTTGGGGCTTCTGTGGGAGAGATGAGGGCAGGAGGGCAAGGAAGGGGAGAGGGGAGTTGGAAAATGGCAAAGAGACAAGGGAGTGGGTAGGGAGAGGTGAGGGAAGTGTCCTGGGGAGCTAGGATGGGACACAGGGGACTGTGGTGACAGATGGCAGATTATAGTTGGATTGTAGGACACCAGGAACATTCAGTGGGCACCTACTGCTTGCTCTGGGCTTAGGTTGGGGCTGTGTGGAGATGTTCCATACGGTGACTAACTGGAGCCCTGCCACAGGACCAAGTGAGTCAGCTACAAGCTGAAAATGTCAATCCACCTCGAGATCTCGGGGAAAGAGAAAGTGACCTGCACTGCAGTGTTAGTTTGGCCAGAAAGGAGGTGAACTAGAGGGAAGGCCACATTCTGAGATCTAGAGTGTGGTGGGGTTCCATCTGACCATGGGATGACAGTCAACTCAGAGGAGACAGCAAAGACTTGTCACAACCACAATGGAAAGATCCTGTGTCAGAGCCAAGGAAAAAGAATAAGAAACCAATGTCAGAATTCTGGAGCCTGAGGTGACATCTAAGGTACAAGGAAATCAACAGCACAGTCAGCGTGGCTCACCATGAGTGACAGTGATGTGGGTCCCTTGAATAGACTGCACCATCTCGATGCCTTTTGTTGCTTTAAGACGAACGCAGCAGAAGTACACTCTCTGGTCCTTTTCCTTCAAGTCCAGGATTCTGAGAACTCCGGATGTCTGAGGCTGTGTCCAGTTCAGGATGAGCCGGTCCTTGAAATGCTCATGTATGAAACCCGAGGAGGAGTTGTAGATAAATTCCCCATGGAAATGCTTCCATCTCCAGAGAATCCACATCTGTGGATCCTTTGCCAACTCCCCAGGGAAGTAGAAGGAGAAGGGGATCTCGATGAAGCTGCCCTGGACACCAGAGATGTGTATCGGTTGGTTGACAACAAAAGTATTTACTCTGTTGGATCCTGCTGAGTTACCTGGAAAGGATGGGGGAAATCTTACATCTCTTCAGGACATGGAGAGGAAAAACCAGAGCTTCCTGAGTGGTCATCCACAGACAGCTATGTGATATAGGGCAAGGCTGTCCCTTGTCTCACTGTCCCACATAGGACAGGAAAGACAGGGAAAGGCTGGATTGGACCCACTCTTAGAATGAGCTCTTTCCTGGGGCACAGAGCATAGGGCAGCTGTTCTAGACACCTATCCACGTGACAGCCCTCTCTTCCCAGACCCACCGGCCCCTCCTCTGGCTAAGGCAGAGTCCCTGTTTACAAGGTCCCTCCACTCACCAGCTTGCAGGCATAATGTTGGCAGCAACAGAAACAGGATCCAAGCCATGGTCTGATTCTCTCCAGGAAATGAGAGCAGCAGAGCCATCAGGTGGGAGAATAGGTCCTCTGGAGGGTCCCTGGGGTGGTCAGGAGACAGGAGACAATCAGGGCAAAAATGATTTTCATTTCCTGGTCTGTATATAGTGGACTGAGTAAGGGAAGGTTCTTGTGGCCAGCAACTTCCTTTATCATTCTGACTTCTTCTTTCCCTTGTTGCAGAAGATCTGCCTTGTGGTTACTGAGAAGATGACTGTGCCCTTGAGCCCAGCCCCATTTTTTGCTGGAAGAAACAGCCTTGACCTCTGCATGCCGGGCTCTCCTCTCTTCCACCTTGACCTCTTTCTTATCCGTTCTTTCCCATTCCCTATGCAGCCTGCAATCACTGTTTCCTCAGCTCCATAATTTCCTCCACTTCTGCCCTCCCCTCAGTCTGTTTCTCCTTATGTCTCCCTTCATGCTGGTTGCCTGTCTGTCTGTCTGTCTGCCTCTCTCTCTTTCTCTTGTAATCTCAGGTAAAGAAGTGGTCATCTTCTGATCATTTCAGACACCATGAGGAAGGAGGTGATGAGGAAACACAGTCAGTCCACAGCCCTAGCATGATGACTCCACCCTCACCTGTTCTTTGCCCTCTTCTTGTCTTTTGGGTGTTTTTATAGCACCCTGGCAAAACCAGCGCCCAGTGGACAGTCTCGCCCCAGCTACTCGCTGCTGCGAATCTGTAACTTCCCTGGGCTGCCTGCGTGATCTTCCCCCTTCACTCCAGAGCTACTCCTGTTTCTGAAGGAGCCTTCCTGCCTTTCATCACCCTTAACACACACTCAGAAGAGGAAACCAGGGATCAGAGAAGCCCTGGCACATGTCACATGACTGGAACATGGCAGGTGACTGGACTTCAGTTCCATCGAGTTCTTGTAGTATCACTCTGCACGTTGACTTCCAGCTGCCTGCTCGGTACAGCCTCTGAACTCCCCTCAAAGGCCATGAATCTGCTCCCAGGTTCCTGGGAGGCTGTTCTCACAGAGCATTTGATTGACTTCCTCTAGCTGTGGTTGTTCTAGAACCTTCTTTGAACAAAGTGGACAAAGAAGGCTCCGAGTAGCAATAAGTTTGTCACTCATGACAAATTGCCTGAGACATTTTGGAGAGTGGACACAACTAGTTTGTGATAAGAATGAATTCAATTTAAACAATACATAGCCACAAACCCAGCCTTACAGAAAGTACTAGAAGGAAAACCACAGCCCAAGGAAGCCAACAACAGCCATAATAGCACAGGCATCTAACAACCCTCCACCAGCACAACTCAAAGAAGGGAAACACAAAGATTCTACCTCCAAAAGGTATAAATGAATAACCAGAGTTAACAACCGCTGGTCATTAATATCATTTAGTATCAATGGACAGACTCAATTCACCTACAAAAAGGCACAGGTTAAGAGAATGGATACGAAAACAGGATCCAACTTTCTGCTGTTTACAAGAAACACATCTCAACTACAAAGACAGACATTACCTCAGAGTAAAGGGTTGGGAAAAGGTCTTTCGTTCAAACAGACCTAAGAAACAAGCGAGTGTGGTTATACTAATACCTAACAAAATTGACTTCAAACTAAAATCAATCAGAAGAGATGGAGAAGGACACTATATACTCATAACAGGAACAATTTATCAGGATGAAGTCTCAATCATGAATATCTACGCCCCTAATATAAAATCACCCACATATGTGAAAGAAACATTACTAGAACTCAACGTATACATCAAGCCCCACACACTAATAGTAGGAGATTTCAACACTCCTCTCCCACCAATGGACATTAACCAGACAGAAACCTAAAAGAGAAATAAGAGAACTAACAGAGGTAATGAATCAAATGGACTTAACAGACATCTATAGAGCATTCCATCCAAATAGGAAATAATATACCTTCTTCTCAGCATCTCATGGAACCTCCTCAAAAATTGATCACATATTCGGTAACAAAGCAAACATCCACCAATACAAAAAAATTTTAGTAACCACCTGTGTCTTATCGGATCACAATGGACTAAAGTTAGAATTTAACAACAATTCTACCCCCAGAAAGCCTACAAACTCATCGAAACTGAACAGTCAACTACTGAACCACCCCTGGGTGTTTCACATAATAGAAACAGAAGAGTCATTGTCAAACTCTTTTTATGAAGCTACAGTTACCCTGATACCAAAACCACACAAAGACTCAACCAAGAAAGAGAATTACAGACTAATCTCACTCATGAACATCGATGCAAAAATTCTCAATAAAATACTGGCAAACCGAATCCAAGAACACATCAAAAAAATTATCCATTATGATCAAGTAGGCTTCATCCCAGAGATGCAGGGTTGGTTTAACATATGAAAATCTATCAATGTAATCCATCATATAAATAAACTGAAAGAAAAAACATATGATCATTTCATTAGATGCTGAAAAAGCATTTGACAAAATTCAACACCCTTTTTTGATAAAGGTCTTGGAGAGAATAGGGATACAAGATTCATATCTAAATATAATAAAAGCACTATACAGCAAACCAACAGCTAATATCAAATTAAATGGAGAGAAACTCAAAGCCATTCCACTAAAATCAGGAACAAGACAAGGCTGTCCACTCTTACCATATTTTTTCAACATAGTGCTTGAAGTTCTAGCAATAGCAATAAGACAACATAAGGAGATCAAGGGGATTCTAATTGGAAAGGAAGAAGTCAAACTTTTGTTATTTGCACATGATATGATAGTGTATATCAGTGACCCTAAAAACTCTACCAGTTGATCAATACCTTCAGTGATGTGGCAGGATACAAGATCAACTCAAAAAAAATCGGTAGCCCTCCTATACACAAAGGATAGAGAAGCAGAGAGGGAAATCAGAGAAACTTCACCTTTCACGATAGCCACAAATAGCATAAAGTATCTTGGGGTAACTCTAACCAAGGAAGCAAAAGATCTATTTGACAAGAACTTTAAGGCTTTGAAGAAATAAATTGAAGAGTTTACCAGAAAATGGAAGGATCTCCCATGCTTTTGGATTGGTAGGATAAACATAGTAAAAATGGCAATTCTACCAAAGGGAATCTATAAATTCAGTGAAATCCCCATCAAAATCCCAACAAAATTCTTCACATACCTTGAGAGAACCATAATCAGCTTTATATAGAAAAAGAAAAAACCCAGGATAGCCAAAACAATCCTGTACAATAAAGGTACTTCCGGAGGCATTACCATCCGTGACTTCAAACTTTATTACAGAGCTACAGTAATGAAAACAGCTTGGTATTGGCATAAAAACAGAGACGTCGACCAAAGGAATCAAATCAAAGACCTGGATATTAACCCACAAATCTATGAACTCCTGATTTTCGACAAAGGAGCTAATATTATACAATGGAAGAAAGAAAGCATCTTCAAAAAATGATGCTGGCATAACTGGATGTCAACCTATAGAAGAATGAAAATAGATCCATATCTATCATCATGCTCAAAACTCAAGTTCAAATGGATTAAAGACCTCAATATAAATTGACCACACTGAACCTGATAGAAGAAAAAGTGGGAAGTAGACTGCAACATATGGGCACAGGAGACCACTTCCTATGTATAACCCCAATATCACAGACAAATAGAGCAACAATGAATAAATGGGACCTCCTGAAACCGAGAAGCTTCTGTAAAGCAAAGGACACTGTCCTTAAGACAAAAAGGCATCTTACTGAATGGGAGAAGATCTTCACCAACCCCACATCAGACAAAGGTTTGATCTCCAAAATATATAAAGAACTCAAGAAACTAGAGAAACTAGAAATTAACATTCTAATTAACCCAATTAAAAAATGGGGTACTGAACTGAACAGAGAATTCTCAACAGAAGAAGTTCAAATGGCCAAGAGACACTTAAGGTCATGTTCAACCTCTTTAACAATCAGGGAAATGAAAATCAAAACAACTTTGAGATACCATCTTACACCTGTCAGAATGGCTGAAATCAAAAACACCAATGATAGCCTATGCTGGAGAGGATGTGGAGTAAGAGGAACACTCATCCATTGCTGGGGGGAATGCAAACTTGTGCAGCCACTTTGGAAATCAGTGTGGCAATTTCTCGGGAAACTGGGAATCAACCTACCTCAGGATCCAGCAACACCACTCTTGGGAATATACCCAAGAGATGCCCAATCATACTGCAAAAATATTTGTTCTAATATGTTCATAGCAGCATTATTTGTAATACCAGAACCTGGAAACAACCTAGATGCCCCTCAATAGAAGAATGGATAAAGAAAGTGTGAAATATATACACATCACATCTACATTACATTACGGTAAAAAACAATGACATCTTGAATTTTGCATGCAAATAGATGGAAATAGTAAACAGTATCCTGAGTGAGATAAACCAGGCCCAAAAGGATGAATATGGTATGTACTCACTCTTTAGTGGACTCTAGCCATAAACCAAGGACATTGAGCTTATAGTTCACAAGCCTAGAGAAGCCAAATAACAAGGTGAACCCAAATTAAAACATATATAGATCTTCCCGGAAACTGGAAGCAAATGAGATCGCCGGGCAAAAGTTGGTAGCATGGGGATGGGGGTACAGGTAGGGGTGGAGATGGGGGAAGGGGAGAGGGGGAGAGAGAAGGGAGAAGGGAAAGACTGGGGAGAGTTTGGGGGAGTGGGACAGTGGAGATGGAGAACGGACGGATATAGGAGCAGGGAAGAAGATATCTACATTAAGAGAGACATTTTAGGGTTGGCAAGAGACTTGACTCTAGAGGGGATTCCAGGTGTACATGGGGATGTCTCCAGCTAGGTCCTTGGTCCACAGAATAGAGGGTGCCTGAACTGTCCTTGACCCACTATCACACTGATGATTATCTTGAATATCACCATAGAATCTTCATCAGGCTACGGATGGAGATAGAGACAGAGACCCTCATCAGAGCAACAGACTGAGCTCCCAAGGTCCAGTTGAAGAACAGAGGGAGGGAGGAGATGAGCAAGGAAGTCAGGACTGTAAGGGCTTGGTCCACCTACTGAGAAAACATGCCTGATCTATTGGGAACTCACCAAATCTATCTGGACCGGGACAGAACGAGCATGTGATCAAACCAGACTCTGAATGTGGCTGCCAATGATATCAATGACTGGGAAACCATTGATAATAGCACTGGGACTTGTTTCTACTGCATGTGCTGGCTTTTTGGGACCCTAGTTTATTTGAATGCACACCTTCCTAAGCCTGGATGGAGTGGGGAGGGCCTTGGACTTCCCACAGGGCAGGATACCCTGCCCTCTCTTAAGGAGGGAGGGAGAGGGAGGAGGGTGAGTGGGGAAGCAAGAGGGGAATGGAAGGAGGGGAGGAAGTATAAATTTTTGGATGGAAAAATAAATTTAAAAAGAATGAATTCATGAGAGGGGGGCAGAAGCTGTGGTGACCACAGGGATGGTTCTGTGGACGGTCATCCCACCCTTCCCCATGAAAAAGTGTTATCATTTCCGTGAAGGATAGGAAGATGTGGCTGTACCAGAGGAAGTGG